CTAGCTCGTTCTACTCTTCGTTGCCGAGCGAGAAACGGGCGGCCCTTCCGGTCCGCTGGCTATGGTCGCTACAGGCCTCTGGGCGTTGCTTTTGGGGTAATAAGCCCTTGAAAACACCGGGCTTTTCTCGTCGTCGGCTGTGTTTCGACTGACTCTGCATCGACAGAGATGCATAGCCCCTAGAAGCCAGGAGAACACGGAGGTGGCTTAGCTGGGGTCACGTGGCGCTGGAAGACCCGGCGCCGATGGCAAGACCGTTGAGGTGAAGGAGGACACGGCTGCGAGGGGCGGCGACCGATTGAAAAGCGGCTGTCTGATTCATGCTTTTGTGCTCTTGTTTCCTGCTCACAACGACGGTCATGTGTGGTCCTTCGTGAGCCAAGGCAATGCTGTTGCTTTTTTTTTTTTCTCTTTTACGACCACATCGGCGTTCAGTTGATATACCCACCCTGTCTTCATTCGGAGCGCATCGATGGGGGTAGCCAAATCAAGTCAAATTTTCTGCTTTCAAAACACTGCAAATCCGTTCAGTCCAGTTCCTGGAGTGGACAAGAAATAAAGCCAATATTATCCACTATTAACACAACCAAGAAAGTATGAGCTGCCGCGTCCAACATGTCGAGCCCTCTGATCACCGATCATGTGTTCCCCTGTGCTTCGTCTCTGTGATCGACTGGTGCCTGCCCGCTCTCGCCTCGCTAGCAAAGCACTCAATCATCCACCCCAAAGTCAAAAAGATCCTGCGGACCAGCCGAGCCCCAAACTTTGAACACACCGCCCGCCACGCGCATGCCAAGCCGTAAAACAAGGGACGTTAGAATTAGGGGATACGTGACAGGTATATAAGCGCAAAGAAACGACTCGCATTGCAGGAACAGTCGGAAAAAGAAACAAGACGAGTGCGTCGCTACGATCGCTTGGCGGCGGACGCCTCGATCCAAGCCTGGTCAGACAAGCCCTCAGACTTGCGACGCACGGCCTCGAGGGTATAAAAGACGCCGAAAACGCCAAAGCCAAGTCATTCGAGGGGGGGTATCTCCTGTAGCAACAGTACAAGCTGCAGGTCGTCTCAAAGATAGTCTACCATCCCTTTTTCCGCGCGAAGCGCTTGTTCAAAAGCGCCAACACCTTGGGCACGTTGAATTGTACGTATTCCAGGTCAAGGTCGTCCTGGTTGTCCTTTTGCATCTCGAGAAGATCGTCCAACTTGAGATCGAGTTCAAGGAGGCCTCGGTTGCGCCCTGCGACGAAGATTAGCATAGAGACAAAAGCAATTAAAAGTGACGGCGGCATACCCTTGTAGTGCAGTGAGATGACAAAGGTGCCCGGCAGCGGGCTCGTAAAGTTGAAGTAAATGTTGGCCCGCCTGTTGTCGGGAACGTTACTCTTCTGGATCACGCCCTCCTTCTCGAGCTGTTGGTGCGTGAATTTGTAGGGACCTAGCACCTGTTGCTTTTGCTGCTTCCGCTTGGTGCCCTCACTCTGCGACCGCACGTTGTGCAGGTAGCTCTTGTACGTCTCCAACTGCCCGACGAGATATGTGTTATGATCGCGGATAGTCTTGTAAACCTCATCAAGCTTCTCCGTCTCCTTGATGACAGCATCCTTGAGGGAGCCGAGATGCTGCAACTCCTGCTCTACCTCGTCGCGCAGTAGGCCAAAATGGTCGCTCTTGTCGATGACCCTGAGCTCCTGCAACTGGGAGAGCAGCTCCATCGCCCGAATGCCTTTACGCACCATGACTGCGTCATTGCGGCTCGTAGCCGCCGCATCCGCAATCCTTTCGAGACGCAGCGGCCGTCGTGCCACGTTGCTATTGGAGGGAATCGACCGCATGATCTGCACGAAGATAGACTTGGCTTCCATAAAGTATACCTCTTCTTGCGTGATGTCAAGCGCGGCCGTGAGGTCGTCGATGGCCGTCTCCCACCTGCTGAACAGTGGCAGGTTTGTGGACCCTGTTCTCCTTGCGGGGGACCTGTGGGGGGA